GTAGTTTATCATATTAGCGAAAGCATTTTCAGATTCAATTACACTGATGCTGGAAATGGCCCCATGGATGCTGTTAATCTCTGGGAAAGAATTATACCAGGTCTCTAAAGCTTCCCATTTCTAAAACCAATCTCGGAGCATTATTCTAAAGGTTAATTTAAGATCCATCGTCCAAGAGAGAAGTTAAATCTAACTGTTGGAAGAACTGTCCTCCCCCACTTGACTGACTGAGGGAGTTTATCAGTGTGTAAGAGTTCATTAGTTTTAATTAGTGTAATCACTAATGTTGCATTAACAGTTTAGTGAGGGAAAGTAATTACTCACACATCCACCATATTAGATAGGAAGATGAGAATTCATTTTCTGAGACCATTAACATTTCAGATTAACATTGCAGCGATTAAAAAACACTTTCTCCTAGTCACCATCCCGATGACCTGCTTACCCACAGATAGTTTAAATTAACCATATCTTTCATCGGGAGAAGTGGCGAGAAATGTAGAATGAAGCCCAAGTTTATTATTTTATAATCCCTTCTACAGTCACACAGCAAGAGTAGAAATCTTGATTAGTTCATAATGTCCTGCTTGATTTGCATAGTCATTGGGTTCAGTCTCTGCACTGGGGATTATAAACTTGGCTACGTTGTTACCCAGAAGCAATAAAGCCCAGTGAAAGCTAGAGACAAAAGAATAGGCAGGCAAGTCTAGGTGGATTGAATGCTCCCGGGGTCCAGGAATGTGTATGGCTCACTGTTAGCAGGGTTAAGGGTTCATTATTCTTTCCATCAGGAGCTATAGGTTAGGGCAAGCTATTATATTTGCTCTTAGAGGATCTTGGTTTAAATTAAAACATATCACCACCACTGCCAGGCCAATGGGAAATCTTTGTGCCTGTCAGAGCCATTCCAATGCCTGAAGGACCAAAGGTCCCTCCAATCCACCCTTTTAAATCATTGAGGGTCAAATGAAATGAAACAGTAGCCATTTCCCCTGAACTAGAAATTCCCTGCTCTCCTCAACCCTTATCCCTCCACACTGTCCTGAGTTTCAAAAGTCCCCATGACAGACACATCATTTTCCAAGTCAGACACTCAGAATTTTTTTCTTTTGCAGGTCACTGCGTGTGACCGTGGAGACCTAGGCCAAGGACATTAGGAACTCTTCCCTGGGGTTTGATGAAGAAACAAATATACCAGGGTCCTAAGGCTTGCTGCCTCAGAGTCTAGAGGGGAAGATGTGGAAGGAAGAGACAAGAGGTCTGTGGAGGGAATTAATTAAGCTGAATGCCACCAGCTCTCTCCAACTAAAGGCACTAATAGAAGAGCCTCATATTTGCTTAGCACTCCACATTTTTCATAATACTTGTATATATGATACCTCTCTGGGACCTCACCAAAGTGAGGAATAATAATAGAAATACTACTATTACCAATTATATAGCACTTTAAATTTTGCAAAGCACTTTACAAATAGCATCTCATTTGGGGGCTCACAACAATTCTGGGAAGTAGATGCTATTATTATCTGCATTCTACAGATGAGGAAACTGAGCTCATAGAGATTAAGTGACTTACACAGGCACATTGCTAACAACTACTGAGGCATCTTCCTGACTCCAGTCCTATGCTCTGTCCATTGCACTACCTGGCTGTTAGGTTAGGGATTATTATCTAAATCTCAGATGCTGAGGTAAAGGAGGCAAGGTGTAGCAGGGAGAGAACCAACCTTAGAGTTAGGAAGACCTGGGCTGAAGTCTCATCTCAAAAACATACTGTCTGGGGGCAGCTAGGTAGCACAGTGGATAGAGCTCTAGCCTTGGAGTCAGCAGGACCTGAGTTCAAATCCGGACTCAGACACTTGACACTTACTAGCTGTGTGACCCTGTGCAAGTCACTTAACCCCAAATGCCTCACCCAAAAAAACAAACAAATGAACAAATAAAAACATACTGTCTGTGTGATCCTGGAGAGGTTATTTAACCTCTCAGTGTACCGGGAAACTAGGACTGTAAGTGGCAGAGAAAGTGGAAATCTTTAAAGGAAGAGGGAGTTTCCTCAACAGGGATTTCCTAAAACAGTGAAAGTATAGGTGGGAAGGGAAGACAAGGGAAGGGAAGGGAGGGCAAGAGAAAAGAAGGCAAGGGAAGAAATCCTATGATTATCATTTGATATATAAGGAAACTGACTCACAGAAATTCAATAACTTGCCCAAAGTCAGGCAGGTAAATGGAAGAAGTGGGGGCAATAATGCAAAGCTTCTGACTCCCACTGTAGATCTACTATACCCCTGCCACCAGCCCCGTACTACCCAAGAAAGAGACGTATTCAGGCAGCATCATACACTGGTGAATTAGGATAGAGAGATTGGCAGGTTACTAGATTTACAATAAGAAGACCTGGGTTTGAATCTGGACTCTAATAGTTACTAGAACCATAGATTTAAAGCTGAAAGGTGCCTCAGGGGTCATCTAGTGCAACCATTTCATTTCACAGAATGAAACTGAGGCTCAGAGAAGTTAAATGATTTGCTCAAGGTCACACTGATAATAAGCGGTCTACCATTTATCTGAATCTGAACCCAGCTTCTCTGATTCTTTCCACTATATCATACTACCTGTGTGATGTTGGGCAAGTCCCTTTACCTCTCTGGGCCTCAGTTTCTTCATCTGTAAAATACGGGGATTGGATGAGATAACCTCTTAGGCTCATTCCAGCTCTAAATCTTATGATACTATTGCCTCAAAACATAGCCATACACGTGATTTCCTTCAAAGGATGGTGGCTAATGGAGGAATGGGGCAGCTAGGTGTCATGGTGGATAAAATGCTGGTTTTGAAGTCAGGAAGACCTGAATTCAAATCCAGCTTCAGACATTTACTAGCTATGTGACCTTGAGCAAGTCACTTAACCTTGTTTGCCTCAGTTTCCTCATCAGTAAAAAATGAGCTGGAGAAGGAAATGGCAAACCACTCCAGTATCTTTGCCAAGAAAACTCAAAATGGGATCACAAAAAGTCAGACATGGCTGAAACAACATAACAGGGGTAGCAGAAATTGGATTAGAGTGGCTCTTTTTTAATAAAAAGCATCAAATACATGGTGATTCTGTGTAGAAGAATTGAAAAGAGCTCAGGGCTCTACTCAGAGCAGCCACAGCTAAGCCACCCATCAAAATATATTATTTCCCAGAATGCTAAATGTAAAGGACTATGGACCATTAGTATTGGTGTTTTCATTATGGAGAGATAATATTGAATCATTCACAGTACAGAGTTAAGAACTTGAAATCAGGAAGATCTGAGTTCAAATCCTGCCACAAACCATGTGTCCCTGGACAAGTCACTTAACCTCTGTTTGTTTAAGTTTCCTTGTCTATAAAATTGCGGATAATTATAGCACCTACCTCCAAAGGTTGTTGGAAGGCTCAGATGAGTTAACATTTGCATTTGAAAAATGCTTTGTAAATCTTAATGTGATAGATAAATGCTAGCAACTATTTTAGCACCAACTTTAAATGTGGAAGAAAACACCATTTTTGTAAAGCCAGCTATGGCCATTTTAAAGCCACCAGGGTACATGTATGTAGTAAGACATACAAGAGTTTTGGTACCATTGGAGATAATCAGGTCAGCACTCTGGACTGACGAAGAGAGAGGCACACTGGGTTGTTCTTCTCCCCTTTAAGAGGCATGCACCCTGAGTTCAGGGAATGTTTTTGCTTTTTCTCTCTCCTCAGCATTTGGCACAGTGCTTGTCATCTACATAGCATTTACTAAATGCTTGTTGGTTGATTGCTTGATTCTCTTACTACAGTCTCTCCCTTGGTAATTTTCTATTCCCACAATTTCAACCATTACCTCTTCATAGAAAACCATCAAATCTTTACTTTCAGCTCTGTCTTCTCTCTTTTAAGCCCCAGCCCCTCATTTCCAACTGTCTAAAGAAGATATCTCACCATATATCCCATTGCACCTTAAAATCAACTTGTTTACGAAATATGGTTTCAAAGAATCACAAAATCTCAGATTTGGAAAAACTTCAGAAATCATCTAGTCCAACGAGTAACTGACTAGTCAATAGTCAAGAAACATTTATTAAGCGCTTATTGTGTTCCAGTCACTGTACTAAGTTCTGGGGATACAAATATCGGGGAGGGAAAGACATTTCCTGCCTTCAAGGATATCACAATCTATTGGGCGAAGAGATTATACACAAAAAGAGACTGAAAAAGGAGAAGAGAAGGAGAAGGTACCCCACTTGGGGTGCATGGTGGAGAAGTCAGTCAAAGAAGTCTCAAAGTAGTGTAGCCTGGTGAGAAATGAGGAGATATCTGAGCTGAACTCTCTCCTTAAATGGAGATTTGAAGTTCATGGCTTCACCCTCCAATTGGAGAGGTAGAGAGTAGGGCTGAGGGGGTGTACCAATTTCATGATATCTTCTAATTAGGGAATCAAAAAGGCTTAATTACTGTTTTTCCCTCTGAACTGATCTCTAAGAACCCTAAGTTCACAATATACTCCTCTGTTTTAAAAATACAAATCTTGTCACTTTTACTTATTTGTTGCATTATAATTGAGTTTTTCTCTTCTTTAGCAAAAACCCCAGGCTAGGGTTCTTCTCACTGATGTCATATCTTTCTCACCTATGGGGTTCCTCAAAAGGCAGGGGTTCTTAATACGGGGTCCATATACACATACATGTATATTATATGTAGATGTATTGTAGCTAAAATATGTATATTACATATATATGGATAATTGTGTCTCAATATATCATATTATATATAAATATATAATTATAATATATAATATATAAATATATAATATAATATATAGTTATAAATATTATATAAATATTTAAAGTATATAAATGTCACATGTAAATATATTATATATAATTATAATATTCAAAATATTAAGAACTCCTACCCTAGAAGTTTCTTAGACTGGGGAGAAGGCCTAGCACCATTTCTCACTAACCTGTTTCTCTTTCCTTTGCAGTATGTGTCCACCAGGTGTGCAGTCACACAGAGTACTCCAGAGTCAGCTGGCTTCCATCCTCACCATCATATCCACCACCACCACCGCCACCACCACCAACAACGCCACCATCACCACCACCGCCATCACTCCCTCCCTCACCACCTTCACCATCAGGAGGCAGTGTTGCACGAGGCACCGCTTCCCCTCTGCATCTGCCCTTTATTCTCCTGTCAATGGGAAGGCCAGCTGGAGGTGGTATTGTCCCACCTGAGGCAAAGCCACAGAATTGACATCCTTCAGGGAGCAGAGATAGTCTTCCTGGCCACGGACATGAACCTCCCAGCACCAGCTGATTGGATCATCATGCACTCCTGCTTGGGTCATCACTTCCTGCTGGTCCTGAGGAAGCAAGAGAAGTATAAGGGCAACCCACAGTTCTTTGCCACCATGATGCTGATTGGGACCCCAACTCAGGCTGACTGCTTCACCTACCGCCTGGAGCTCAATAGGAACCAAAGGCGCCTCAAGTGGGAGGCCACCCCGAGATCGGTCCTGGAGTGTGTGGACTCCATCATCACTGATGGTGATTGCCTGGTACTGAACACCTCCCTGGCCCAGCTCTTCTCTGACAATGGCAGTCTGGCAATTGGGATTGCAATCTCAGCAAGCAAGGTCCACACTCCTGAAGTTGAGATCTAAAGGACAGAGACACAGACACACACCTACTGCCTCCAAGAACAACAAACCATTGGCTGTGTCTCCATGGTTTTGGGATGTCAAGACTCTAGACTTTTTACTTCTTTTTCTGGTCTCAGGTCTTTTGTGGTATTTAATATTTGTCTGCCATGGGCATTATGTTATGTATACAATGTAATGTATTTCCTGTTTTGTTGGTATAATTTTATGTAGTATTTTAAAGATAGTTATCCAATCAGAATGGTTATTTCTATCCACCATGACTCTCCATACATACCCATGCACCCAAACACATGCACACGCATACAGGTGTGATTGAACAAAACTAAATAAGTTCATGAAACTGTTAACATGTGATTGGGCAAAACCCAGCAAGTCCATGAAACCAACTAGAAAGATACACGGTGTCTTAAAAGAACTAGGTTACTTCTTCCTCCTGTCTGTTTCATAACTGGCTAAATCTGGAGTGTCCGTTTTCAGCACATAAGTAAGAAGGTCTAGTTGATTCAGACATCTGGTAACCCCTAATTAGCATTTAACCACAAAGATGACATCTATATACAGTATTGGGGGCAGGGATAGGAATTGTAATATGCATTCCCTACAGATATAGTCCTGTGATTCAAAATGGACATTAAATACTAAGTGCAGTTTTAGAAGGCTCTCATAGGTTTCTCCCACTTTAAGAGACAATGTTGTTCATTGGAAAGAGCGCAGGCTTTTGAAGCAAAGGATCTGAATTCAAATCCCAGCACTCATTTATTACCCATGTTTAACTTTGGTATTCTTTTTTCTCACAGGATCATGGGAATTTACAGTTGGAAGGGACATTAGAGGTCATCCTATCCAACTCCCTCATTTTACAATAAATGTTTACTGAATGAATTTTATGGATGAGGAGAAAAGTCCAGAGAGTTAAAGGTCACACAGATAGCAGGTAACAGAGTTGGACCTTGGTTCCAAATTTTCTGACTCACAAACCAGTTTTTTTCCCAATATAAGAGGATGATAGTGAGTCTTATCTTCCCTTGAACCAGACTCAAAATCACCTTTTTTGATGCTCTCCTGAGCATTCTCTTGTCCTGTAATTTTCAAGATGAATTCACTATGACATCAAATGTGAGAGAAGGAAGTAAAGGCAGAAAAAGCCAAAAAAGAAAGTAAAGCAGGCATCTTCTCTCTTTGAAATGGAGTAATTTCCCCAGATAGTCTGCTTCATGATGCAGTTATGAAGCCTGTCAGTCCCTTCATCTGGCTCTTAATACTTTACAACCTATAGCTCCATAACGACATTGACTAGAACGAACTTAGAGTACAACACACAGATCCCAAATCTTTCCTTGATTTCACTTAAGCCCATTTCTTTTGTCTTCTGTGGACCTAGAAATCAATGGTAGGGGTGGGAGGACATCATTGTCATTAATAAATAAACAAAAATTTATTAAGTCCACTACATGCTAGGTACTGAGGATACAAAGATATTTGCTACCCTTAAGGGGTAACATCAGGGGAAACAACATGTATATATGCATACGCAAAAAAAAAATAAAAGGTCTTTTTTTTGGCAGAGGGAAGCCTTTCTAACATGTGGATTTGATTAGCAAACATTTATTATGTTCCTAATATATGCAGCAAAGTTTGTGGACTGCTATGGGGACATGGGCAAGACATAGGCATCTAGTAGGGAGATGACAGATACAAAAATCATTACCAAAAAAGGAAGATTGTTCTTAATTTTATGGAAGAGTTACAAACAAAGAGCTATGAAAGCATAGCAGAGGGAGAGATTACCTTTAAATATCAGGATCAGGGAAGGCTTCATAGAAGAGATGGAATTTCAGGGTTGGAGGAGACCCCTGAAACTAACTGGTATAACTCACATCCTAAAAAGAATTCTCTTTACAAAATATCCAAGAAACATTCTCCAAGAATAGGTTGGATTTTAGCAGGCTGAGATTGGGGGCAGGGTAGAAACGTCGAGATTGCAGAACCTATGTGGGAAACAGTGAACAGTCCAGTTTTTCTAGAACAGCAGTCCTCAAACTTTTTGAATTCAAGTCTTCTTTACACTCTTAAAAGTTTTTTTGAAGAACACCCCCCATGAGTTTTTATTATGTGGGTTAGATCTATTAACATTTACCATATTAGAAATTTAAATGTTGGAGGCAGAGCCAAGATGTCAGAGTTCAGGGAAGAAGTCAGCTGAACTCTCCCAACATTCCCCTACAAATAACTCTTCAAATTGAATTCTGGAATGGCAGAGCCAACAAAAAAGTCAGTGTTTTTCCAGCCTGAGACAACTTTGGAGGTGGGCAAAAAAGGTCTGTGAAAGCAGGGTGATGGGCAGCCTAGAGTGCAATACATGTTGTGGCAACAGCAGCAGCAGTAGACCTTGGAAGCAGCTGCAGCAGCAGCACCAGCAATTTGGGGAGCTTTCAGTCCATAGACAGTAAGAGGATTAGACAACTGGTTGGAAAGAGGTTACAGGGGACCCTTTGCTGGCACTAGGTTCAGGGCCCTATTGCATTGCCTATATGCAATTCCATGTCACAGTTCCAGGGTAAAGAAGAGTACTACAGATTGCAGCCACAGAGGAGCAGAGGCTCTGGCCATAGCTCCAGGGCAGAGAAGTGTGCTTGTGGTCACTCACAATGGAGCAGGAGACCTGATTACAGTTCTAAGGCAGAAAAGAACACTAACTTTTGAGGCTGCAAGAGGGCAGTGGACCTGGTCACAGTTTCAGGGCCAAGAGGAATACTTGTACTTGCCACTACAGGGGAACAAGGTCCCTTTCTGGGTAAAGACCAGAACACAGGTCAGGAGAGCAATAACCACATCTTTCTTTGGATCATACCACCTTATAAGCACTAAAAACTTAATAGGTCTCCAGAAGTAGGTCTGAAAATAGCAGCATGAAAAACCTGAAGCTTGGAACAGTACCCCCTCCACCCCAGGAACAGAATTCAACTTCAACATGAAGTCAAAAGTCAAGAAATAACCCAGAAGAGAGGGAAACAACAAAAAATAACCTGATAATTAAAAGCTACAATGGTGACAGGGGAGATCAAGACACAAACTCAGAAGAAGACTATGCTATCAAATAGCTATGAGCAAAGCCTCAAAGAAAAAAGTGAATTGGACACAAGTTCAACAAGAATTCCTGGAAGAGCTCAAAAAGGGTTTTAAAAATCAAATAAGAGAGCCAGAGGAAAAAATTGGGGTAAATGAGAATAATGGAAGATTATTATGAAAGGAGAGTCTTGGTAAAAATTATTATTAAAAATTATTAAAAGGGCTTGGTGAAAGAGGCACAAAAATACTAAAGAAAATAACACATTAAAAAGCAGAAATGACCAAATGGAAAAAGAGATACAAAAGCTCACTGAAGAAAATAATCCCTTAAAAATTAGAATTGGGCAAGTGGAATCTAATGACTCCATGATACATCAAGAAACAATCAAAGTCAAAAGAATAAAAAAATAGAAGAAAATGTGAAATATCTCATTGGAAAAACAATTAACCTGGAAAATATATTAAAAAGAGATAATTTAAGAATTATTGAATTTCCTGAAAACCATGATTTTAAAAAGTGCTTAGACACCACATTTTAAGAAATTATTAAGGAAAACTGCCCTGATATCCTAGAACCAGAGAGTAAAATAGAAATGGAAAGAATCCATTGATCACCACCTGAAAGACATCCCCAAATGAAAACTTCAAGGAATATTATAACCAAATTCCAGAGCTTCCAGGTCAAGGAGAAAATATTGCAAGCATCCAGAAAGAAGCAATTCAAATATTATGGAGCCACAGTCAGGCTCACACAAGATTTAGTAGCTTCCACATTAAAGGAGTGCAGGACTTGGAATACCATATTCCAGAAGGCAAAGGAACTAGGATTACAATAAAGAACAACCTACCCAACAAAACTGAGTATAAACCTTTGGGGGGGGAGAATTGATATTTATTGAAAGAGAGAACTTTTAAACTTTTCTGATGAAAAGACCAGAACCGAATAGAAAATTTGACTTTCAAATATAAGACTTAAGAGCAACATAAAAAGGTAAACATGAAAGAGAAATCATAAGGGACTCAATAGCATTCCCATATGGTAAGATAATACTTGTCATTACATTCCTATATGGAAAGATGATACTTGTTATTCCTATGAACTTTATTATTATTAGGACAGTTAGAAGGAGTGTAAATAGATAGAGGGCATGAGTATGAGTTGCCTGTGATGGGATGACTTCAAAAAAAATAAAGGGGTGAGAAAGAGAGATTCCCTGGGAGAAGGGGGAAGGGAGAGAACAAGGGAAATTATCTCACATAAAAGAGGAATGAAAGGAAGAGTTTTTGCAATGGAAGGGAAAATGGAGAAGGGAAGATAGTGGACAACACTTGAACCTTACTCTCATTGGAATTGGTTCAAAGAGGAAATAACATACACGCTCAGTTGGGGATAGAAATCTATCTTACCCAATAGGGAAGTAGGAGGAGAAGGGAATAAAAGCAGGGGGAAAGGTGATAAAAGGGCAGGCAGATTAAGGGAGGCAGTGGTCAGAAGCAAAATAGACTTTTGAGGAGGGGCCACATAAAAAGAGGAAAAAGGATAAACTGGGAGGGGGATGAAAAGAAATACACAGTTAGTAATCATAACGGTGAATGTGAATGGGCTGGACTCACCTATAAAAGGGAAGTACATAGCAGAACAGATTAGAAATCAGAATCCAACAATATGTTGTTTACAAGAAACACATTTAAAACCAAGAAACACAGAGTGAAAATAAGGAGTTGGAGCAGAATCTATCATGCTTCAGCTGAGGCTAAAAAAAAAAGGCAGGGGTGGCAATCATGATCTCAGATAAAGCAAAAGTAAAAATAGACCTAATTAAAAGAGATAAACAGTATACTTTGCCAAAACGTACCATAGAAGATGAAGTAATATCAGTCCTAAACATCTGTGCACCAAATGGCAAAGCACCTAGATTTTTAAAGAAAAA